ATATAATTTTATCATTATATTTTTTTTGCGTCATTCATTTACTTAATGTGAAACTTTAATTTTGAAAAATAATTAGAGATTAAAGAAGTGTACTCTTTATATGATATTTCTTTACTTGATGTAGGATTTTAACTTTATAATCAATTAAAAAAATAATATTAAAATAAAAAGATGTTACTTTTCATTTATAATAACATTTTAAAAAAAAAAAAAGAGTACAAATTAACCTATTTATTTAATTTATAATAATATTTTATAAATGCAAATAGTTAAATGTTACTATAAAAAAAAAGTAAAATGTAGTAGTTATTATGAAGAGAGTAACACATTAATTTCTATATTTTTTTAAACAACCCCATTCACCATCAAATCTATATGTCGAAATTGTTGAGATTGATTATTGTGTAGCACTTCATATGCCACCTTTTGAAAAATGAAATTATAAGTATAATTTATTTTGATATGTCTGAAAAATCTTACATCATTTAAGAGTTAAGATTAAAGGTAATTTATAAACATCTTCCCTCCTTAATCTATTCGTTAGAAGGAGGGCTTAAACGATTCTTGCCCTTAGTATTTGATTGGGACTAGTCTTTTCTTCAAACTATTCACAAAATCAATTAAAATATGAAAATCTATATTCACCTATCAAACACGAACTCACCTTTTCATTCAGTAGTTAAAGCTTTATTCATTATTGCTATTAGGATGAAGGGGCTCAAAATTGATTCACCATACCTTGATTTTAGAGTTTTAAACTAAAGAGCTTCCTTTTCCTTCATAACTTCCACAGGATAAAAATTAAATAAAAATGTTGTTCAAAACATAATAATGTAATTCTACCACCAATATGACAAATATCATTTTTTTTTTCTAAATGATTTTTTAAGGCTTAAATATGTTTAAACTATCTCGAATTAGCTTGATTTTCAGAATACTACTTTTTAATTTTTTTTTTGTTAAAATTACCTGACAAATTTTTTTTTCTTCAATTTATTACCTGATGTTGGTCTCCCTCTATCAAGTGATAACGTGGTAGATGAACTGGCACGTCATCACCCAACAGTGTCTGCCACGTCATCCAAGGGACTGCCACGTGGACATGGTGATGATGCGGCAAACACTGTTGGGTGATGACGTGCCAGTTCATCTACCACGTTATCACTTGATAGAGGGAGACCAACATCAGGTAATAAATTGAAGAAAAAAAAATTAGTCAGGTATTTAAAACAAAAAATAATAAATTAATAGGTAATAATCTGAAAATCGACTTAATTGGAGGTAATAATAATTTAAAAATCGACCTAATTAAAGGTAGTTTGAACATATTTTAAGCCGCACTTAAAATTTTTTTTTCGAAAGTATCTTAATTCATGGCACAATATAAAGCATTTGTTGGTTTTATTTCTAGTTACAGGTGTTTTATGTCTTCTTCATCTTATTAATCTTCACTTTTCTCCACTTCTTCATTGTCCACTCACTATCTTTGTTGAAATTTTAGGTCCATTTTTTATGACAAATCAAAGTTTGAAGTCGATGGATTGTATGAATATTCGCATACGCTCCTTTCACTCAATGTAATTTATGCAATCGAAATATGGTGGCCTCAAAATAGGTTGTCCTTCAGTAACAATTTTCAGATTACTATCTTCAATTAGGTCGGTTTTCAGATTATTACATCCAATTAGGTCAATTTTCAAATTACTACCTATTAATTTATTATTTTTTGTTTTAAATACCTAACTAATTTTTTCTTCAATTTAGTACACGTTGATCCCCCTCTATCAAGTGATGATGTGGCAGACGGACTGCCATGTCATCACCCAACAATGTTTGCCACGTCATCACCATATCCACGTGGCAGTCCCTTGGATGACGTGGCAGACACTGTTGGGTGATGACGTGGTAGTCCGTTTGTCACGTCGTCATTTAACAGAGGAAACTAACGTCAGGTACTAAATTGAAAAAAAAAATTGTCAAGTAATTTTAACAAAAAAAAAATTAAAAAGTAGTAATTTGAAAATCGAGCTAATTCGATGTAGTTTAAACATATTTAAACTTTTTTTTTTAATGAATCTAGGAGAGGCTTTCAAGTAGATATATTTCTTTCGAGCTAATTAATACCCATATGAAGGTATTAATACTTAATGTTCAATGTTATTGATACACATTTTGGTGAGTATATCAATTGTCATATTTAATAAAAATGAATAAAAATTTAAGTTATCAAATTCACATGAACTTGAATTATAATTATTTAATTCAATTTTAGTATTATTAAAGGAATTTAAAATTGTTTAAATGAAATATAAAAAAATTATAAAATTATGGAATTATAAAACATGTAACAATGTACTAGTAATGAAAAATTTGAATTTAGATAATAATAAAAATAGTCATAGATTGATTTTACTAACCTTTCACATGTAAATCCTTCCAAATTTTCATTCAATATTAGAAATTATATAATTAATTCAACAACTCTCAAATATATTTAAACCATCATTTCTTTGACAAGCAACTATAAATTGTTTAAGAAAAATCTCAATTTCTTGATAATTTTTGTGAAATAATTTGCATTAAGGTCAAAGACCTAAAAATTGTCTGATAACTTACTCCTATTCCTAGGAAATAATTGTTATCAGTGTTTTATCTATATCGTAACTCTACGAGGGTTTTCCAAGCTTAGTTAAAATTATAAAATCATGCATTAACCAAAATAAACATTAAGTATAAAGTTAAAATGATTAACTAAATAAAAACAATGTATTGAATGAGAATAGAGAAAAATATGAGTACAAAAGCTACATCAATATCCAACAATAAAAAATTTAGTTATTCATGCCTAAGGGTTACACAAGAGAAGAGAGATCCTTGATTGACCCACAATTATAAAAATGCTCAACCTCTCTAAATCTGTGCTTTGAAATGTGTGATTAATACTGAGAACTCACATAGACCCTACTTTTATGCCCATTCAGAGTGTCTATGTGACTTGTTCTGAGCGAACTTGTGTGTGCTTCCAATGATACTCTTTGTTCTGATTTTCTCAAAACGTTTAGGTTATAACTCTAAACAAATTTTACTTGCTCTAAGCACTCAAGTAACTGATCACTTTGAGCAAACTGGTATAATCTTCTAAAATTGTTCTCTAACTTGACTCATTTCGACCTGTAATTTAATTGTTTAAAGTGAATTTCACGAGCTCGGAACAATTTTCTATGTAGCTCAAGATCATGGTTCCTCTTTGAAACTTTTAACTTCAAAAATATTTTCTCCTTGTATTATATCTCAATAAAAAAGTATTAAAAATATTTAATATTTAAACAACTAAATTCTAAAATAAAATTAATTCCTATCTAAATATTTTGTGAAAAAACAAAACTTAAAAATATAAAATATATTAATAATTATCTAAATTAAATAAAAAATTATATGCATATTTAACAAAAAAAAAAAAACCCTAAAATTATCACTTATCTAACCTTGGTATCTAGCCTTAGTACCAACTCAACACCCCTGTATTTCATAGCCGACAAATTCTCCAAAGTAGCCACCATCCACCAAAAGAGCACATTTAAATAAATAATTTCATTAAACACTATAACAAGCATTATCAGTTGAGAGCTTATTCATGAACTTGATCATTGTGAAACTTAATGATACAAGTTAAAAAGAATCATTACATGTTATAAATCAAATAAAGGTTATAAACCACCTTTATTAATTAAATCAAATAACCTTTTTCAAAGTCTTCCTCAAGAGGATAAGACATTACATGTTACAAAGAAATGTATTAAAAAAAACACACTTAATGATTACAATTTACATGGCTGCAAATATACACATTTTTTTTAATGACAAAAAGCTACACTATATCCGACATGAGTATAGAGATGCAAGTAGAAAGAACTAACCAACCAGCCAGTAAAATTTGTTTGGCATGGATAGTGTTAAAGTGGGAGTAACTGAAATGTAATACCAGTGCAGGTTGAAGGTTCACCAATGTTGTTTCTTCTTCTTCTTGTTACGCTTAACTTTCTCTCAATGACTCGTTCTCTCTTATGGTAGCGTTGGTATATCGGGCCCCGAGAAAACGACGTGCCCCGCACCTGCCAACGCGCACGCGACCCCACAAAACCCTAATTTACAAGACCCTCTAAAAGCAGTGCTTATTGTTCGTTCCTCTTATATAATAACAGAAGCAACAAGCAAAGATTGGAGAGAAAAAAATAGAAATAAAAAAAAAAATAAAGTAAGAAAGAAAATATATTGACTCCCCTAATAACACCACACGCCAAGAAAGAGAACAAATCAAAAACATTTCTTCTCCTTTGTTCTTGTCAAATAGTTTTGTGTTCTTTCTCTTTCTATATCTTATTGTTAGATAGTATTGTCCCCTATTTTGGTTTTCTTAATTATCTCTCTCCATCTTTTCTCTGTTTCTGCCCTCGTATTTGCTCTCTTTGTGCTCGATTCTGTGAAAGGTTTCGCATCTGTTCCCCCTCCTGTCCACTCAGATCACTTCTTCATCCAAAGAATAATTCAACAAATTAAAAAAACAAATAAAAGGAGAGAGAACACTTCCTGGTCGTCTGATCTTTAATCTTTCTTTCCATCTCTTGAAACAGCTAGTTTGATCAAACTCTTTAATACCCTTTGCTTGATTCCTCTTGAGTACTGAATCTAATTCTCTCCTTTGAGCACCTCACCACTCATTCCTTTACCCTCAGCCTCTCATCCATGGGACCGACCAAACATCATATGTTAGGTCTTCAGAGACAAAGAGCTTGCCAAGCCCTTTGTTTCTTATAACCTGTGTGGGTTTGACTTTTTTTTTTTTTTTTTTTTTGTGCTCTCTTACAATTACAAGTGAAGGAATACTAGGAGGAGAAAACCAAAAGCACAAATAACTAAACCGAATCAGCTAAATAGCCTTGGCAGTAAGAGGTATCTCACAGGTTAATTTTGCGTTTTCGGGTAAAGGCAATTGAGCATAATTGCTTTCTGGATATATACTATTTTTTTTTTTTTTTGCTTCTTTGGATTCACCTGAATTAATCTCTGCAGCAACTCTGGCAAATCCTTGGTGGACAGGTCAGGGGGGGTTATCTGGGGTTGACCCAGGAACCCATTCACCTGGCCTAAGCAAACGCCACGCAGACCTTGCAATCAACGAAACCAGTGGTGGCCACAGTAGAGAAGAAGATGAAGACAATAGAGATGAACCTAAAGAGGGTGCAGTCGAGGTTGGAAACCGCAGACCAAGAGGAAGACCTCCTGGATCCAAAAACAAGCCAAAACCACCCATTTTCGTGACAAGGGACAGCCCAAACGCCCTAAGGAGCCACGTGATGGAGATAACTGGAGGAGCTGATGTTGCAGAAAGTGTAGCCCAATTCGCAAGGAGGCGTCAACGTGGGGTTTGTGTGCTCAGTGGTAGTGGCTCGGTGGCCAATGTTACTATTAGACAGCCTGCAGCTCCTGGTGCTGTGGTGGCCCTTCATGGAAGGTTTGAGATTCTGTCCCTAACAGGGACTTTCCTACCTGGCCCTGCTCCTCCAGGAGCTACAGGACTCACTGTGTATCTCGCTGGAGGACCGGGTCAGATAGTGGGAGGAAGTGTGGTTGGATCTCTAGTTGCAGCAGGACCGGTTATGGTGATTGCTGCAACTTTTGCCAATGCAACCTATGAGAGACTGCCGCTTGATGAAGATGATGAGGGGCCTAGTTCGGCGGCGGCGGCACAGGGTGGAGGATCGCCACCGCTTGGAATTGGAAGCAGTGGGGGTGGCCAGTTGCAAGGTGGAATTCCAGATCCATCATCTATGCCTTTGTATAATCTTCCACCAAATGGAGGAGGGGGCCAGGTAGGGCATGAAGCTCTTGCTTGGGCTCATGGAAGGCCACCTTTCTGAATAGATTGATTCATGAGGATGCGCAAAAAAGATGGTAGAGGGAGAGATCTAATAATCAAATTCAACCTGCTTGTGTTGATTGATCTTGTGCTGTATTTTGAAGGATAGGAATCGCAGGAAGAGTTGCAAGGTTAGAGTACTAATTATATAGTTGTGAAGAACTGTGAGAGAGGAAGCTAGCTAGCAAGCAAGCATACTTATTTTATCGATGTACATGGATTATGAAACTTCTTTTTTTCTCTTTTGCTTCTGTGTTTTGAATAAAAAACATGATCATGGGCGTCTTTTTAATATATTTATGAATAATTTAGTAGTTTTATTCACTGTCTTATTTTTTTCGTCCCTTTATAAATCTCTTGGTTGCAGTTTTATTTGATTTCTTTATTATTTTATTTTATTTTATTATTGTTGCACTTCATGGCTTTGGTTTAAATATATGATGGGATCGAATGATTAGACTTGCAAAATACGATGAAATTGGTGTTTTGAAGATATTATGTTTCCAAGCCCTATCTTGGATTGATGGTTCTTAATTAAACATCAGCTACTTCTTTCACCCTTACCCTTTTCTTTGATCTGGGAAGAAAATAAAATCACTGCTAGGGCTTGTGAACTTAAAACTTCTGCATCTGGAATTTGGCTTGTGTAATTGCACAGTGGATAGGGCTACTACCCAGATCCCCTTATAGAAATTATTGTTTAATCCGAGAAAGGCTTCCTTGTTATATCTTAGTCCTTTTTAAATTGAATTTAAGCAAGGTTAAACATCAAGACAACTTTCTAAAATAAATTATAATGCCGGGGACTGAATAAGTGACTAGTGATATTATACTTGAATTTTCATCATGTTAATTAATTTGTCATAGGTTGAATGAATTATAAACCTCATCAACATAGACAAGTACACGAATATAGCAGATAGATATATGCGAGTTCGGAAATGAAACAGCTCAACAATATATTCAGATCGATGTATGCATATTATCAAAAATGCTTAGATCAATATTTTTCATTTTAGAAATTCTTAAGCGTAACATTACCTTTTGTCGGTTGTGACTGCATGCGCACAACTAATTAAAGTGCCATAAGCTTTACTGTGGGGTATATCTTCCATATTTTGATGTTTGTTGACGAAACTGTCTGAGTCTGGGTATGAATCTCTTCTTCGTATTGATTTAATCAAGTCTCAGACACTTCTGCCATTCCACACCGCACATGTTATGTTTATAGGATTTAAGATGAGTCCCAGTCCCACGAAGACACTCGATCATAAAGTTCATTGTGGCAGAATGGGAAATTTTCTGTCCATACCCTAATCATGGATCGATTAAGATGCTGCAGAAAAAAGAGTGACTCTTTCTCCAAGAAATGTACTAATAATATATTAGTACATAATTGAAAACAGTGTTTTTTGTTCCAAACATAGAGAACTGTCTTTATATGCCTAGTGCAAAGTCTCTTATTTTTAAATTAAAATATGGCTCACAAACTATTTTGGTAGCTAATATGATAGTTAATATTATTGTAACTGTTTTTCTCCCTTGATCCATGCCTCCTTCGGTACTTTAAGGGTCACTACTTGATAAGAAAATTCAGTAAAATCATGGGAATATTGATATTTAGGGGTGACATATATTGGATATTGACCGTTGTTTTTGTTAGCCATATTATTGTACAAAGAAATCAAAAGTGTTTCATCTAAAGTGATGAATAATTAATCAATTTTCTTTGAAGACAGTGCATCTATTGGCCTCAAGTTAAATCCAATGGGGTAAAGAGTAGTTCACGTTTATATATAGAAACTATTGTTTATAATTAACGTAAATTTAACACATGTATTTCGCTCGTTAGAAACATTGTGTTTTGATGTCAGATTTTACATCTTTTGACCTTAAAATGGTCAGGAAGATAATGCTTTGTGAAAAGCCGAGAGAACTGGGAAATGAGCACAAGATTGTTAAACTTCAAATTTTAAGTAAAACTCGTTAAGAAGAAACACAAGAGTGTGGTTGGTACACATGGTATTTGTGCTACATTATAGTTTATTACACTAGTTTATAAATTTGTTTAACTAAAATTAAAAGTGTTTAGTTAAATAGTTTATTTCTCTAACTAATTTTAGACGAGTCATAATTAAGTTTCTTTAATTAGCTACTTTATAGCCATATAGTTTTTTTATTATCATATTTATCCTTAATATTTTAATATGGTTTATCGTTTATCTTTTGCTTCTTTTAACAATAGGGTTAAAATATATTTTCACCTCCCACCCAAAAAAAGTCTTTCTGCATTGTCATTTTTGTGTCCAAACTAGCTATTATTGTCAATATCTACTCTGATTAAGTCGTAATTTTACGTTTATAACATACATTCTCACTTAACTAGTCATCGCTCTACTTCTAAGTAACATTGCTTTAGTTGTTTGGCGATTCTAATTAAAAAGTAGAGAAATTTTTAAATTTATTTTTTTTACTTAAATTAATGCTAGCTTATTTTCTTAAGAAAGTCTTAATTTTTATGTTTATTTCCAAAAAAAAAACTCTTTCACTTTGCACCAATATCAATTTTTTATGATGTTTGTGTTAACCATTTGATATAGCTAGTTATATAATTTGAAATCAATATCACTAGTTAAATTGAAACAATTTTACGACAATTAATTCATTAGTGTCATTGTTTTGCTTATAAATTGCTGGAAAAAAAATAAAATGAAATAAATTGTGTCCACTGTATTTTCATGAGTTGGTCTAAGAAAGATGATGAGGTGTAGTGTCTTACAGTATTCAATTTACTATTAATTTTATATACTTTTTAGTTCATATACTTTCTTCATATATTCCTTTGTGCCCTTAATATTGATGTTCCACGGAGTATTAAAAAAAAAACTAAAGATGTAATTTTATTAACATGAATTATTACTTAAAACAAAACCAAAATTATGTGTATCTTTTTTAATGAAAATTAAAAAAATAATATAATATAACTATATTGATCATTGCAATTCAAAAGTATAAATACGAGGAATTTTTAGCTTATATTTCATACTATACTATTTATTTTATTTATTATATTGTTTGTTTTTAATAAAATATTTTATCTTTAGAAAAACTGGAAAAAAAAAAATCTAAGTTTGTGAAAAATAAAATAAAATTATAATTACCTAAAAATATTTTTGTCTGAAAAAATAGAATCTGTATATAAAAATGACATAATATATTATTTTACTTTTTTAGCTAGGTTAATACCTAACTTTACTAAATACTTTTAATTAAATAATTTAAGTTTTCAGTTCTCAGCTAATAGCTTATCAAGTTTCAAAAAATTTATAAGCTTATCAATTGTTTTTGCCAGTTGTACAGTTAAAAAAATTATTACATAAAACTGTGATACATTTTAATGCAAAAATAGATGAACGATGACACACAATACGCAAAATCAAACTTTTCACGTTAACATCACTCTTAAATCAATTTATTTCCTAACGTAAATTGAATTTGGAGATCAGTGTAATTAATCTTTTTATATTGATACATTAATTTAAAAGATAGATGTATTAATAAAGGTACTGAGGCACCAAGACCCATAAGTGATAAAAAAAAAAAAAAAAAAAAACTCTTCCTACCCATGCTCAAGTTATATATAATTTGTCTATAAATAAGTATGAATTATATGTCAACTTAAATTCATCTTCACATGTAAGTTTAAAATAAAAACCTCATATTCTCACTTCTCTCTCTTTTTAAATTTGATAATTACAAGACATTTGACATAAATATTAATATGCATATGCTAGTGAGACAATTTGAATAACGGTTCATATAAATAACATTCTTTCCAAACCAATCCAAACACGCCTTAATTTTTTCTATATCTCATTTCCTTTTATAAAATTCATTGTCTATTTATCACTTATATTTATCTCTTTATCGTCCTCTAAAAGTTTTGCCTCTACGGTTTTGTCTAGACCACATACATTTAACTCGCCTTCTCTTTCACATTGCTCCATTCTTTGCCGTCTTTAAGTTGGACTTTATCGTCCAGTTTCTCATGTTCCACCATCTTTCATTTATAGTAGTTTATTATGAATATGGAATCGCGTTTATATATAATGTCACCACAGAAATGGAAAAAGTCAGACGACCTTATTTTTTAATCATTAGCATACATACAAAAATGAAAAAGTTAAGATTTACATTTTACATCTCTCAGTACGCAAGTTACAAGACTACATTTCATCACAAAAAAACATCATATATGATATAGAGCATGAACATAAATAACAAATCTAAGAGGTTGGACTATATATGCTTTTTAATTTGCTTTGATTGCCACAAATCGAATCCTAGTCTAACATAGGAAAATTGATTTTACTAATTGCATTATAGTTAGTTATGTTTGTTATTTGCTAATTAGTCAAAGTAGTGAAAAGTTTAATTTTCTTTAAATAAAGTCTCAAAATTCAAATATTTGGAGAGTTTTATCTTAATGTGTCTAAATTTTTTACGACTATATAAATTTTAAATACTAAGGCTTAAAATTAGTAAAGTTAGTTGTGAGCATTTAATGTCATTCCTTAATTAAATTTGGATCTTAGGTAGTTAAAATGAAGAGTTTTTAGATCTTGATAAATATCAAGTACATGTGTAGAGTATATGATGAACTTAGATTATTTAAATATTGTGTAATATTCATATTTTTATGTGCTAGTTCAAGTCATACATTGAGAGCCTTATGTAGAGTGAGTGAGTTCAACTTTAAAAGGAGTTTATATGGAGTTTTTTAATGGGAGACCGACTTATAATTTTTTATTTTCAGAAAAACTTTCCGGCTTTTCTCCCTTGTCTTAAGAGAAGCTTTTCTTGTAGAAACCAGAGTTTTCTCCTTCTGGAAACCTATACCTCCCCCTTTTTTTAGTAGTTGATCCATCTTGCGGAATTTGTGATTCAAAATCAAGAGCCAAGAATTCCAAGTTGGATGTGATGCAGATTTCATGTCGTCTTCTCCTTACCCTCGTCGATTTGATTCTTCAAAAGGTAAGGGAAGCTTATGGTTTGAATGATTGCATGTTGCTTGTTGTGTTTGTGAATGTGATTTCTAATGGGTAAGTTCAATTAGTTGTTGAATGTTGAGTAAAAATGTGAGAGGATGGATGTTGGGTTCTTGGAATTTTTGGTGTTCTTGATGTGTTGTTGATTTGCATTGGTGGCTTGAATTGTCATTTTTGAGGTGATTGTTGAAGTTGTGAAGTTGAGGCTTCTAGGAAAGGTGAACTCAAAACCTAAAGTTATTGATCTCTCATTGTTAAAGGTATGCATGTTG